GTTTAAATTAAGAGTTATGTTGCAGCAATAGCTAAAAAAAAAAAAAGACAGAGGGAACTACATAGACCATGATCCTTTGCTCCATTTGAGTGTAAACTACAAGAAGAAATAACAGTTCTGTGCACTTTTAAGTCTTAGTTATTTGTATTAAATCTTGTCAAGACATTAAAAAAAAAAAGTAGCATATTAACAGTTTTGTTAGCCTCCATAAAATATCGCAATAAATATTGTACCATGAGATGTATACTGTGAAATACATGATATACACTGTGAGGTTCATACCGTGACAATATCGTATCGTGAGACTTGGATATCATTACACTCCTAATTTTGAGCACTGGAAATGAAGACAGACTATAAGGCAGGAAACAAAACACAATTCCAGGTATATTTTTATACAAGCTCACAAGAGTAAATTTTGCGTAATATACCTTTACATAGACTAAATCAGAAGGAGTTTATAGACTGAATCTGTTGATGTCACAGTATTTCATCCAAAATCTGAGCAAATGCAGGTATAGTGTATTACATGAGGCTAATTATCTTAATAGCTGTGAGTGGGCAAAGCATTTGGGAGGATACTCAGTAATTAAGACCCTGGTAAATGTATTGTGTGGCAACAATGGGGATAAGCAGGTAGTGCACCAGAAAAGTAAAATAGTGCACCTTTGAATAATATCTTCATTTTAATTTATTGTAACAATTTTAACCACAAAGCAACAAGTTGTTGTTTGAACCTGTGTGTGTTGCTTGTCAAATGAAGATAAATGTATATTGCCCAATTGACTTTGTGTTTTGGATCTTGACACTCTCTGCAGACCTTCCAGGTGCCACAGAAGTTCTCATTTGGAAGCATATTGGCTACTTTACACTGACCTTTTTGTTTTCCTGATCCCATTGACTGTGGTGGGTTTCATCAGGCCTCACCCCAGTTGTTTGACTCGTCCCTTTGGGCTTTACATAATAGTGAAGGAACAGAGACCCTTGTTCCATGAGCAAAAGTTAACAATGTCCCCACGGACTCACTCTCCATGAAAGCAATTAGACAGTGCTCCTCCAATCCTGCACATTTAGCCACTCAATATCTGGTCCTGGCAGTTGTTCTGCTTGTAAGGAAGTCAATGAACGGGTTTGTTGCTGTTAAAGAAACCAGGGGACATGGTGGTATATGACACACATGCACTTTGAAGATATGAGCACAGAGATGACTACCTCGGAGCATGGCAGAGACATCAGAGGCAGCGGGCCATGTGTTTATGGGTATATGCTGATGTCTATGGAAGCTGGTGGGGCTGTGGGCGGATGCAAAATGTTTGAAAGGAAGTCAGAGGCACTGTGTATGTCATTAAACAGACATTAGCCCCGCCCCCTCAGCCACCTCCTGCACACGCTGTGGTTTGATGGAGGAACAGCAAAAAGCCATTGCTGTAGCACTCATGTATGCACAGGTGAGAGATGAGGCACAGAACATCCCCCTCCTCCACAGCAACAAAAGCTCTTATCATTGCACTATATTTAGAACATCCAAGTATTTGATATTGGTCCATTAGTCAGCAAGACTTTTGTTCATTTAGGAAACAGAGCAGTTTTAAATTGAAAACTTTTTCTTTTTGTTAAAAGTACAATGTGTAACTTTTTGGAGGTAGCATGATTCTATGAAAAAAATGGAGTTGATATGATTAACTGAGATTCAGGAGCTGGACCACACCTCAACCTCTTGTCCAGCCAACCACAGCTTATCTCAAACACGCTTTCAACTACCCAGAAGCACTATTTATACGGCCTATCCCGACACCACTTTTAACGTCAGCTGTAGCCACCCTCTCCCTCCTCCCCGTGTCTTTTGTCCATCCTTCAGTTCGAAGACATCATCTTCGTGGGGGGACAAATAGGAGTCAGGTTTGTGGAGTTGCAAGTATGCACAGAGTAAAGATGCATGTCAAAATGAGATAAAAACACATTTTTTATTTATTTGATTTGATTCTTTTGTTGTCATACCTCAGCTTTTTGGTCCTAGCTCCTCACCATCATTGACCTTTGTTTCGGTCAGAAAATATAAACATTAAAAAAAATATGTGCACAGTTTGGTGTTCATTTTATCTCACAAGATCCGGTGGCACAAGAACTTGTCTCATAATAGACAACAGACAAATTTATCATATAAATATACAGTATGCATCAACAAACATGGTATGAAGACTTGTTTTATGAATGCTTGTAAATTGTGATTCAGAAATAACAATACGAAGGTTAAGCAGGCAAACAGTTTAAAAGCTTGTCTTGATGTTTTTTAAAGAAACCTGTTGCTAGTCCTTTTGATCAATACAATGAAGCATATCTCTGTGTGATTTATCCTGTCCTGACCCTCAGCCATTCATTCAAGTGTCAGAAAATGAAATGCAGAAAAAGCTGTTATAACTTATTGTAAAAAGGCCTTTATAAATATGTATAGCATTATGATGTGGTGCCCTCTGGTTGAAAAGAAAACTGCAAAAACTGAAATAGCGCACAATGAAAAATGACCTGATATTCACATTTACAGCTCCTGCGGTCAGATGTGAATTTAAATGCCGTTTCAATGGACAGACAAAAACAACCAAAACAAATGACGCAGGTGAAATTTGGAACAGACCACTGCAAGATTACAGAAGGAAATGCAGAAACGTGTGCAAGGGCATGGATTTGAAAGAGATGAATTACACCTTCTCCTGGGAATCAATAACACTGTGAATCAAAAGCATTGCAGATCTTTTCTTTACCTTAAGGGAGAACAAGAGTGAACGATGTAAAAATGTTGCCTGTCAATTTATGAGGTACAGGGCGCTAATGCAGGAAGCCCAGACAGAGGAGAAAGAGGCTCAGCTGAATACAAACAGGACTGGAAAAAACAGGGCGGTTTTACATGTGGAGTTTAATGACCTGTTCTTTCTGAAGCAAATATTGGATCTTTGGTTTCACTTGAAATATTTTTGATAACATCTACCCACCTTAAAGGTCTTATATTACACAAAATTGATTCTTATGAGCTTTAGGCCATGTTAAAATGTTGTTTCCTCATCAAAAACATACTCGCAATTGTGTTTTGTTTCATTTATGCATGTTTGAGTAACTAATTATTATTAGTCTGTTTACTTCTCCAAAATTCAGAATGCTCTATTCCACCTTGTGATGTCATGAAGCAGTAGTTTTGAAGTTAACAGCTCCTTTCACTTGTTGTTCAGTAGGGACTCCAGGTCTGAGATCATCCAAATGGTTTCAGTGAAAGTATGTGGCATTTAAAAACATAGTGGAGCACTTCCTGTATTACCACATGACATCTCAAGGTGGAACAGAGAGTTATCTGCTTGAGTAAAGAACACAAGATAAATATGCAGAGTTTGTGTGATAAATATGCCCATGCACGATCTCTAAGAATATGGGGGAATGCTGTGAGCACTCCTCATCATACGTGCTAATTATTTTCTGTTGAGGATCTTATGGCATATGATTTTATAGGCGATTATAGATAATAGTCTGTCCTCAGAACCGAGCAGGAGCAGTTGAGGATTTGTCTATCATCTAATGGGAGTCAGAATCAGAATCACTATAAAGAGTTGGTTTTCAGGGCCATGACAGCCCATCCCTAATGTCCAGTCACGCATGTATTTTCTATATAGCTTCCTATACAATTTTAACCACAGTGTGCGTGTATAAAGGGAAAACACTTAGTTTCAGACAGCCAAGTGCCTTTTCTCAGTGGCTTTAGATACAATGATAGAATGTGACAAGAGAGAAAGTTCTCTCTCACAGTGCGCACCTGAACTGTTACTGAAATGCTTTATCACAGTTCCACCACTGGACCACTGGCCAGAGGTGGAAAGATCTAATATCCAAACTCCATGAAGATCTTATTCTTAAAGAGGTAGTAAAGAAGTGTTCATTTTAATGGATTTCATTGAGTGATAGGGCCAGTGCCTTGACAGAGAATAAATAAGTGTTAATTTTGTTTTTAATTATAACTGGTTCTATGACCAATATGAGTGTTGTGCACAGTCTGCTTCATGCACCAGTGGACAAATCTGTGATGATTTGAGAAACTTGAGTTTAGTGACATATTTTTAGCAGATGAAACTTTAAAAAAAACAAAAAACAAAACACCATATTTTTTTATTGCCATGGGCCGAACACGAAACAAAAACAAACAAAAATGTGATTAGCTGAGAAATCATATTTTTTCAGTTTATAATCATATCTCAGTTGCTGTTGCTGTCTGGTAGTTGTCATGTTCTTGGCAGCAGCGTGACTGGATGTGAAAACAGCTGGTGCATGGGAGTAGAGGATAGCCCAGGAGACCAGGAGTTTGTTTCTTGAGGGAGTCACCAAGCTTCACATCTAAATGCAAATTCTCTCTTTACATTATTGATTGCTACACTCATCCTGTGGCTGTTTCATTTTGCATATGTTACAGCCCTGGGTATTATGGCCAATGTTGCACACCATTACAATGTATGTTGAATCGAGTACTCATTATAGGAGACGTGTTAAGTAAAATCTACTTTTATGAGCTTTCAACAGTGTTATAATAGTGTTCCATCATCATTAGTTTAATCAGAGGTGTATTTTGATTGGTCCATATTTCAGTAATCCTCTATTGCCTTGCATTTGAGGCTTGAGTTCTGTAAAAATTGCTTGCTTTCATCTACATCACAATGGTTTAGACTCTGAGTCATACACGTAGGGTTAAAAAAAATGCCAGACTGACGTTTTCAACAATAACAACAAGTAATAGAAAATCAACTTCTTTAAATGGTGAAATGACACTATGAAGAGGTAGGGTTTAGCAGTTCGTCAGCTTTCAATAGGTAGTCAATGGACATTTTTTAGATCAATGTTACAATTTACAATGAACAAAATATAAAGTAAAAAAAAAAACACTTAAAGAAGCATAATATTAAGTGAGATCATTTGTCTTTAGTGGCACATATAAGGATTAACGTACTTGATATAATTTTGTGTTTTAGTTTGAAGACTACTCTGAAGAAGAAGCTTTCAGGGGATGTGGTTAACCTCTCGGGCATCCCCCTGTCAGGTCGGGACATCCAGAAGGTGGCGCTGTACCTCCAGAGCAGCAGCGATTCTGTGTCTGCTGTGGACCTCAGCTTCACAGAGCTCCTGGATGACGGATTCCGCCTCCTGCTGCCTTTCCTTGGAGGTATGCCCAAACTCACCATCCTGGCTGTAAATGGCAACCGCTTGACCACATCCATCCTCAAAGACCTGTCTGATGCTGTGAAGGACCCCCGGAAGTTCCCCTGCCTGGCCTGGATCGATCTGGGGAACAATGTCGACATATACACTGTTCCACAGCCTCTACTTGTAGCTTTAAGACGAAGATTTGGTTTACGCAGCAGCCTCCCCACAATCTACGAGTACAGTGAGACACACTCTTTCAGCGGTTTTAGCCCAAACATAGAGACGTCAGTGGAGGAGCCCAGTCTCTATGAGGAGGCAGAGGAGGAGGAGCGTGAGGAGGATGAGGACCGGCTGGAGCTTCAGGCTTGGGGGCTTCACCACCAGCCGATGTCCAGGACTGTAGCAGTGCATTTCAGTGGGAGGTGATGGTCTGCACGGACAGCCTGTTTCTCACACTGCTGTGTCTATGAGATGGTGTCAACAATAGTCACTGTCAGAATAACTTTGAAATACTGATGGTCGGGCCAGCAGGTGCCCCTTCAGCTATTCAGTCAGATGTATGATCTGAGAGTCCAGTTGTATAGGACATGAATCCCCAACTATCCGTCACTAGGTTGTTCTATTGCAGCGGCTTGGGTATAAGTGCCTTTGCATAAGGTACACTGTCAGGGGCTCAAGAGGAGGCTGCACGCTGCCCAAGAGCATCAAGGGTTATGGATTAGATTTGGTCTTAAGTCACATGTTTCTGCCACATATGAGGGAACATCACAGCCAGAGTTGACCTTTTTAATCAGAGCATCTTTTCTGTGAAGTATGTACCTCAGTGTACTCTTTCAATGCCATGTATCAAATGAAATATTAGTAAATGTATACATATTTGTCATTTATAATCATGAAGGCTTCAGGAGCTGGATGAATGTTACATTTTTAAATATAGTTTTATTCATTAGTGCATAACATATCAAGTCATTAGCTCAGAAAGAGAAGAGTACAAGTCATTGAATTTATGCTGTAAGGAAGTGGTGCCTTGAGCAAAAATGGGAGATTGTAAGGTCAAAATAATCTTTGGGGAAAAATGTCTTCTTTTTTAATCCATCAATTAATGTTGCATGAAGCAACCTCAGGACAATGCCTTCCACAGGGTCCTGCCTGGGGAACATCTCCAGATGTTCACTGATAATTTTATGGTCAGGAGTTCTTGACTCTGGGATTAGTCTAATGTGAATGAAGCCCATCCAGCATGCAAAGTCTACACAGAAAAGATCCACTTAGCAAAAGAAACGAACCTTGGAACTTTTTGTGTGTGGCAGGAATACCTAATGAAACATTATGTATGGATTTATTTATTATTTATTTAAGAAGCACAAACAAAGAATAGGCGTATGATTTGCTGACAGGTGATAAAAAAAATAGTTGTTAATCTTTTCTTGACCATAGTCTTGCTGAAAACCCCAGAAAAAAGTGTGGAAAAACTGCTGCATATTGAAGTAAGTAATAATATATGATGAATACACTTGACCTGATACATGAGTAATTAATTCACTTTCTGCAGTGGAGATGATAATGCCTATTTGTGGAGTAATGAGTTTGAATAATTCTCCTGCCCTGTGGCGACGGATGACCAATTCTGACTCATCTCATCATTTATAGTCCATTTATAGTGGGGCAGCCCTACAGTACACTTGAGTTTTATCATTGTAGCAGACGTACCGTGTTTTATTAGGAAACTTGTTTTTGTTTGGAGGTATATACCAAGATCAACACATCTGTCTGAGGAGATGAAGCAATCACCGTGGTCTCCCTCAGACCCAGATGGAGAATACAGAATCTCTTTTGCCCTGCAAATAGGACTAGCCCCAGATAATCCTGCCGGGCTATTTATAGACACCCCTACAAGCAACAGAAGGATGCCCGATCTGTTTAAGGGAAGAAATGATACATATTTCACCTCCACCATTTACTTCCATGATTTGTATTATTTGACAATGTATGGCAATGCATTACACAACCTCTGTACTCAGTTTACATATTGAAGCTTTTAAACATAGAAAAAATGTTTACTCTTTGTTTTTCAGGAAGCGTGTGTCAAATACAGGGAGCAGCAAGGATAGTGGTGTTTTCTTTATGACGTATAATTAGCGCGTGGTTGTGGTCGTGTGGAGTAAATGAGTACCTTTGATGGCAGAGATAAGACGTTTACTCATTAAGGGTGTCCCTGGATGCACAGCACATTTTTTATGGGCTGTTACAAACATCCGAAAAACATTATGACTCATAGGTTCAAATATACATACAGTTATGTAATGCAAACTTCTGGTTAACATCCCCCTGAAACTCTTTCTTAAATTTCTGTCAGGGAAATTATCTGTGAGTCATTCTATCCAAGTCACAACTGCCTGCTGTTACTTTTTAATAAATACATGACTCAACTAAAATTTCTTTCCTATCTTTTTTCAGACTTTTTTAACCTACACCTCACCTTCTCACCTATAGCTAACAAATTCTTCAAGGTCATGTCTCGAAACAAGATATTAGATTGCATATTGAGGAATTTATAATATCTGACTGCCTATTAAGGTCTGTTTTGGGGCTGACCTGACCTTTAGTTACCTTTCACATTGCAAAAACACAGTCTGGTCACTGATCACTTATTGATTTGTGCACTAGACAGAGATAGGATTGACACATAACATTTAAAAAATTTACAGCAACAGAAAATTAACAGAGAATTTTCAAATGACTTAAATGATGATTAGAAAAATGTGGAAAAATGTGTTCTATTTATTTAAAGCACAGTAATTTTTTTGTCTGAGGTCAGTCACCTGCTTGTTTCTATGACTATGTCATTGCTCTGCCTGGAATGTTCCACAGTATGACATTAAACTGCTCTACCTTACATTAATTTAATTACAGGTAGTTTTATAACTCAAAAATACCTAGAAAAACAAGCATTCTGACTGTAAGTGAGGATGCATTTCCTTGGTCTGGTTTGGTCTCCATGAAGATAGGCAGGTTTAATACCATACTGTGAAACATTCCAGCAAAAGCAATAACATCTCCACGGAGAAAAGACTTTGAAGGACCCTCCACCAGAAAAGTTACACAATGTACCTCAAAATGTTTTGTATTTTTTTATTTAGTAATAATGATCAATTGGTTCCCATAATAAAATTGCATACAAAATCTGACACATCATCAGAGGGAAAGGACAATACCACAGCGTGTTGGGTTGATGTGGGTCTAATGCTAATGAGAAATAAATTGAGAACTTCAGTTCCAGAGTTTGTGGCTCTCTTTACTTTATGCTATATTATTCAGCAATACTTGTTGCTGCCTGTTCCCACCACTCTCATCAAACTGACTAATGTTGTCTATATTATATGTTTTAACATGTACAGTGAAGTGGGCTTATCTGGTGTTTCTCTCAACAAGCTAGTGTCTCAGTTTACATAATGCACCATGTATATTTCCTGGAGCTGTAACAGTTTGGACTTGCTGGCTTGCCTTTTGTGTGTTTACAGCAAACATATGAGGCATGTAAAAGTGACACTCCACAGATAATGGAGAAGCCCGGGGGGAGCAGGGTGTGCTGGGGCTGCTGTGGTGTCAGCGTTTAGCAAGACTGTGGAGGAAGAGGAGGAGGTATAGTCCCGTCTGGAGCTGTCAGAGAAACAGAGTAATACCCCCATGTTGCTGACTGCAGCCCTGCCACAGTCACAGAGAGCAGCTTTGGGGCATTCATCTTCAGGCCTGTCCAAAGAGAGGAAACCAGCGGTCAGATCATATGAGCCAAAGCATTTTAAAAGCATTTTCACTTTGTACTGTAATATATATTGAAGACGCACTGGCAATGCTCATTAGTACACTTATGTCATGGATTTGACTGTGTGTGATCAGGCTGCTATTTCTATACACAGCAGCAGAAGGAATACAAAGCCTCACAAATGTCAGGTTTGATGAAACACTATGTCCTCGCCGGATGGCAAACTGAACGCAAGTAATGTGAGTATGTTTGCAGCGTCTCCAAGCTGTCACAGAAATATGTGAACTACTACTTTTACTAACAGATAGGCTCCAAATAAGTTGAGGAATTTGAAAACTACATTGGGACTTTTGTAGTGTGTAATTTATTTGACATTATATCACTTATATTTGACATTATATCACGTTTATTACTTTATTAGTTTAGATGTGTGATAACTAAGAAAGCACAACAGATAATGGCCAACAGCTGCCAAAACACCAGATTTCTTAATTACCAAAAATATTGGACACGATTGCCAAGTTATTCATCTTGTAATTTTATCCAAGCAGAAAGCAGAAAGAGGCTCTCATTTGTATTGTGGGTTTGAAAGCTGAAATCCACTTGGTTTAAACCTAAAAGGACTCCCCCTGGTTGGTATTCTGTCTGCCCAAACCCCAACACCAGCAGCCAATCATTGATCAATGCTGGTCAGGTATGAAGGATTCTAAGGCTTAGAGAAAATGTGTATGTGTCCTCTGTATGCAGGTTAAGAGGGTACTAGCAACACAGCATCAGTTGTGATTTAAGTATCTTTTTTTTAAAGCAGACAGAACGCAAGCTACATACAGTCCCTTTAAGTAGGCTGTACAGACTTGGCATCACAAGCGTTCAAACAACTCGAGGTCTGATGTAAAACATAGGCGATACACTCCATCTAGTGGCTAATCTTGGACTTACAGAGAACAGGATGGACATGCATGGGAGCTTGTGATATTGAGTGTGTTCAGTGAAATCCAACACTGCACGCTTCTGTGGATCTGAAAGAGACATACAGGCTTTACGGGAAACTGGAGACACGTTTTGCTTTGTTTCACAATCATAAAACAGATTGTGAGCTGGATACTGTCCCAGTGATTACTCAGCACCATCACAAACGCACACATACAGATCCAAATCACTCTTGAGAAAGTTCAGTTGCTGACAAAATTGTTTATAGCAGGGGTCTCACTGCATGTTTTCCATTAAACTGAAGATTAGGTGTTTTATTCTAAGCCCTGGCAAGTTTGAAAGTGTCCAACGGTGCTTCTTGGTTTAGACCTTTGTGTGTGTGTGTGTGTGTGTGTGTGTGTGTGTGTGTGTGTGTGTGTGTGTGTGTGTGTGTGTGTGTGTGTGTGTGTGTGTATGTGTGTGTGTGTGTGTGTGTGTGTGTGTGTGTGTGTGTGTGTGTGTGTGTGTGTGTGTGTGTGTGTGTGTGTGTGCGCGCGATGTGTGTTTGTCATCAAATAGATTTCTTCCAGATGAATGTGTTTCGGGACTGGCTTCATGTAGGCCTATATTAGACAATGAGACCAGGACGGATTGTGGTACCATAGGCCTAGCATATTTAGATTTACATATAAAATTATTAATAAAGTTAACCTTCTGTCAGATTGTACTATTTTCCACCTGTTTAATCACTTTACGTGGCCCTGGTGTGGTCTGATGCGCACGCAGAAATGGAAATTTGCGTGAACTTAATGTTTATTATGTACATAACCTTTACAATATGGTCTAGTGTTTTTCCTTATCAAGTGGCTATAAATGGACAGACTCAGCACTCAACACGCCTACGTCACAGGTTTACCCACATTTTTGCGCATGTAAAAAACAGTATACAGGGCAGGACTAGTTTAAAGTTTTAACACCCAAGAAGAGCTTTGAGCAGAGTTCAGAGATGCGGGGCCAATCTCATACCATATGAAGTGTGTGACTGCAGGGCCCCAGGGCTCCACACACTGCCTCTGTGTTTGATTTAAACAGCGGAAGTCCTAAACTGATTAAGCAGACGCAGAGCCCCCTCAGACCCCTAAATAGCCTATCTCCAAGAGACGGGAGACTTTCCCTATCCCTGCTCTACTTCACGCACAGGCACAGTACCAGCCCGGTCTGAATCATAAAAGAAATGGCACGGTACTGCCCCCTGCGGCTCACAGACTGCACTGACCACGCTCTTCCCAAATAGCGTCTCTCTAATCAGCCCTGTGCAGACAGCATCCTGGAGCGCACTCACACGCACACGCTCGTGCTAAATATGTCGCCTGCTAAAAATGTAGATGTATTTTAGGTTTCATAGCAGATTTTTTAAGGGAAAACACGTTTGAAAGCACTTTGGCCTATTTCTTTTGTATATGTCTACATTTTATTGAAGTATTGGGGCATTCAATTTAAATAGAATAAATTCACGAACGACTCAAATAACTTCATATGCAGAGGCTTTCAGTAGGTTTTGGGCTCGTAGCTTAAGTTTTAAGGCAACTGCACCATATAGCTTTTATTATTCTTTAATTATTACTGTTGGTCTTCGTTCTAGTAGCCTAGCCCTGTACGGGTGTCAATCAATACGTTTACTGCCTTGGTTTACACACACTTCAAAATCAATATTGCAGCGTTTGCTCATGAAAACAACATCAGTGACAGAAACTGCGCCAGTGCATTATGCACCAGGTTGCTCCCATATCTGTTTCTTTAAAACCAAAATGTTAATACATCAGCCTTGGTAAAAACTGATTTAATTCGGCAAAATAAAAGTAAACCTGTGAAATAGGATGATGCGTCTGTCGTCTTTACGCACGGCTCGCTCTGGACCATCCACGCTCTGGACGCCCACTCCTCGTGTATCGTCTTTGATTGGCTGTTAAACATACCAATGCTGTGTGCGTGCGCTGTGATAGGCTGCGGCTCTCTGTGGCCATTACGTTATGCTCTTTACTCCTCTCAGACACGCGCACAGAGCAGCTGGAGAGAGAGGGAAGACGTAATGGTTTGAGTCCGCCGTGCACAACACTTGCGATGGTCGTCGTCCTGATATTACTCGGCAGATTCCTTGAACGGGAGCTGCAATGAAGGTATGTCACTTTAAACCTCTGCTATCTCATCTTCGTCTAGGGCTAATAATTATTGTGTTTTACGCGGGATGCTGCAGCGACTGACACAAGACCAAGATTGATCTCACTAGTGTGGATTTATTCTGTCAACAGGCTTATAATTCACTTCAAAACAATTCGTATGCTATGTAAAAGCTCCATCATTACCAAGAGCTCTCATTGTGTGTGTAGTGAGGAGCCTGTACTGACCCCTATGACAGTTCAATGGATTAAAGCCTCTGCAGCGACGTCCATTCATGGCCAGCCTTTAATCCAGTGTAATGGGATAAAGACAGTGTGTGTGTGCGCGCATGGGGCTGTTTTCTGTTTTGGGAGCGCAAGGATCTCCTCTGGTTGCGTGTGCGCGCGTGTGTCATCGGCGCTGCTGTGTCAGGACGTAGAGGTGCATCGGAGTCCCCCCTCATTCTCTCATCCACGGGGTTTATATGCCCCACTGCAGCACGGGCTCACGGGAAATGATGGAGATGATGTCATTGATGCGAAGGTTGTACTGAAAAGTGATTTAAAGGAGGCAGTGTCACGGTAACCTTAATAATCTTCCACATCCACATCCCTCTGGCGTGTTATTGCAGCGTCTTGCAGCTGATCTGTCGCCTCCTCACAGCAGCAGCTCCGTGTTGTCATCCACACCAACAGTGCAGTGGCCCAAAGCTCCAATGGCAGAGAGACCTGTGTGCTCTTAGCCTCCTCCTCTCCAAGGATTCACTGTCATTTGTATTCTAAAAACAAAAGGGCTTCCCCTGCACCAGCTGCCCCCCTGCTAACCTTCGCAAAGAGTGAAACCATTTAAAGGATATTCTATAGTTCATTCTCAATGGAAATGCTGAAATACAAAAAACTTTTGAATGCTTAGTGTGCCCATTGTTTGGTTTATGTTTTTACTATTGATCCTGTCTTCCACCTGCTTCTATTTGCATATTGACATTATTTAGGACAAACAACATAACTTATTCTTAAAAACTTCCTCCAAACACAAAAGTACCCTGGCCAAATATAACCAAAATACAAAGAAAAACTGCCTTATTCAGAAAAAACAGATTTTCCACCAGTTGTCAGAGCTGGGTGTCTGTTTGTGACTTTTGAGTTTTCACAAGAGAAATCATAGCTATTTGGAATGTAGACTCCTTTTAAATTGTCTACAAAATGTCAGAAAAACTTTCCTTATATCACCATTGAGTACAGAATAAAGTGGTAACCTTGGGTGAACATTCATTTCCTTCTAATCTGTGTCACTGAGAAAGATATCTGGTGAGCGCCTGATTTTAAATTAAAGGCCAGTTTGCGTGTCCCTGTGAAGTCCTAATCCTGTCCCTGTTATCATCACTTAAACGTAGAGGGCACTTTTAACATGTTGTCACAGTAAACTGCACTATTGTAATCAGATCTCCTCATTGTTATATTTCTATATTTCTGAGCTCTGAATTAAACTCACTTCTCTGCATTTGCAAATAAGGCTACACCCACAGTGGGCATTTAAAGTGGATCAGGAAATCTAAAGATGGAGTTCAGGCCAGGGGGATGCGAAACTGTCCAAGTCTGTTTTTATTTTCTCTCTAATCTCTTCAACCTCCAATATGAGTTTCTGTTCCAGGACAAAACATATTTTCAGAACTAAGTCCGTATCTCGCTTTGAGTAAATCTGCTATTTCACAGTCTAGGTCAACAGAACAGGGGGTATCTCTCCAGACTAGACTCAAAATACTGTTATTGAAATCCCATTTTTCTTTTATTCATGTCCGTTTACACACGAGGAGCTAAATAATTAAGTAGATCTACCATGACAGTTTTGTTTCTCTCTGGCATTTTGAGTGATGTTTGAACAACATGTCAGGAGAAGAGAGCAGAGGAACAGGGCCGAGGAAATGAAATGTGAGACAGTGGGGAGATAGTGAGCTCAATATAGTCGACTTTGTTTACGCTGGAGACTTCATAATGCTTCATGTTGATGACTTGACTGTATTAGGCTTGTATGAGATGGCATTATTATAAATTAGGGGAGAGCTGGGGCCTTACTGAATCCTCAAGTCCTCCATAAGAATATATACATTAGTGTGTAGGCCAGGGCCATAATTGGACTATCAGTTTTTCATAGCAGTGTCAATCCAACACTCCTAGCGTATTTATTCTCCTACTTCTCTAAGGCATCTTGCTTGTCATTTGAAATCTCAACACTCTTATATATAGACAAAAGACTACTGTTATGAGTTATGACCACCAGGTATCAATGTTATTTCTGAAATGTATTTAGTCACTGTTTTTTATAGTGATGACAGTATTCAGACAATAGTAAATGGGATAAACATACCTGTAACATTGTGACTGAAGGTTATGTATCTTTCAAAAGTGAATTAATTGTTAAATTAGACTCTAAAGTGCAGAAATATAACACTTACCTTTAGAAGACTACACTATTACTTAATATTTAAAAAAAAAAGAGTTTGTTTGATGATTAATATTAAAATTTTGCATCTCTTCAGAATTACAGCGTTATATCCATCTTTTGATGTGTATCACCGTCTACTTTTCACTGGCTTTTATTTTGTCACTGTTCAACAATATATAGTTCTAACAGGCAGAAGGAGATCACCTTATGGGTAGGCAAAAATAATAACAGTTTTTCTTGGGTCACAACTTTAATATTGTCATGATTCATGCATGCTCAGGTTAGAAGAAACATATTCAGTTGAATCGTCCCTTCCAATGTGCAAAGACCAGCACAATAACCTAATTCAGTGTTATAAAGTGCAGTGAGCTGACTGTTGTCGCTGTTGTTTTGGGGAGGTTTTCCTACAGTGCGCTAATTGAAGTGACAGTAGGAGCTTGTGTTTCTGGCTCAGAGCCACTTAGATGTTCCACTGCCTGTCCCACAGACAAATATTAGAATGATGAGGAGGAGACTCTCTCTAACCTTGGAGGCATTTTAGTGAGTGAACATCAGGTCAGAATTAAGCCATGAGCTACTGTCTCTATGCTAGACTGAGCTTACTTTTAGAGCCAGATGCTAACATTGTTCTACTGTGAACTGATGTGAACTCCAAGATGCCAAAGTCACAAGATATTATTATGCATGCGCACTTATAGGGTTATTGAGGCCAAGACTGTGCATTCACAATACACTTTGAGATTTCTTGTGTACAGAAATTAGGTTATGCATTTGCTGGATTGTTGGGGAGTTTACACATGAAAGATAGCCTCAGTTCTAATGATGCTTAGAAGAAACTGTAGAAATGACAAACTATTTTCACATGTCTAAATCTTATTGTATAATTAAGACAGGTGCTCTAACATTCTGAAAATATTAACCCTAACTATTTCAATGGAAGTAGATGACTGTTAAGAGTGGTTTACATATTGTTACAGTTTTGTGACTGTAGCAAATGCCAACCTAGAAAGTCAAAATTTACTTGGTACTTCAAATGGTCATTGTTTCCACAGTACACAAGTAAATTTGATCCATATTGGTTCCAATCGGTGGTAGGAGTTGTTTCGACAATACATTTTTAATTCTGTAACTTTTGTTGTTAGAAATTCCTTCACCATTGTTATTGTGAATGTAAACTTTTACTGACCCCACAGTAGTAATGCACAATGTTGTGTCATAGCTCCATGCTTCTTCATTTTTTTCCTTGTCTACTATTGAGAATACAAGCTAGTTAATCCCATCCCTTGCAATAACTTCTTAATATGACAAAAATAGCAACAACCTTGAGTCATGTTGGCCACAATTCATCTTCATCACTATAGCATTAATAACAGAAGTGGTAATTGAAAGTGTAATTGCCCATTATGAGCAGTGACTCTGGCTGCCTGCCTGTGTGTCTGTCACTGTTGTTAATGTGTAGGCGACCAGGGCTTTCACACTATGACTCCACATACAGAGCGCTCCTGGTACATTACATAATAGACCCCTGAGCAGATGGGAGAGGTCAGATCACCCGCCACCGCCTTAAGAAACCTCGTAGCATAGCCCTGTGAATTGCATTCTTTGAGGAAAATGCTGGACATTATCGTGGGCTATTGATTGTGCGGCCGGAGAGAGAGCACACAGAAGGCAGACTGTATTCTCCCCTGGCTGACCCCCACCCCCTCCTTCTCATCAGTATGCTCCGCCATCACGCCATCTTTGCTCCAGCCTTGGACATGGCCCATCTTACCGTCAACAAGCACGCCCAGCTCACTTATGGTGCATCATGGAATAATTTATAATTTATAATTTATTTATTTTGACCTTATAATCTGTGAGTTTTTGTATATTTCTGACTCCATCACCAGAAAAATCTATGGTTTTAACGGACTTCTCTAATGATAATGATAGTGTGTACATTTAGGCAGGAATATCAATAAACCTGACCTGAATGCCTGACACTGATGTTTTATATAGGCCAAAAGGAAGGATTTGGGGTTTTAAAGATTCATAATTTGTTATGATATAATTGTAGCATATTGCTACAAAAATATCATGATAAATGGGAGTCTAATATTGCAACAAATGACTCCATAAAAAAGCAGGATAGTCCTCACAAACTTTGCCTAAATAAAGACAAACATACCTGTATTATAGGCAAGACACTTTGCCCAATCCATATGAATGTGATTGTAGTGGGGCAGTCACGCTCACTTCAGAGTTAGCCTTTCTCATTTTCTCTATTTCACTGTCAACAAAATGACTCAAAGATTCCAAAATATTCTTGAATGGACCTGAGTGAGGACCTCCGCTCTGTTTGTCCCTGAGATAAGTGATAACCTGTATAATTTCATCTACACAAAATTTTCATGGCCTGTTTCTGTCTTTTCCTAAATGATTGTCTAAAATCATTCAGACTTAATTTATTACTTTCAAGGTTATATTCCTGACCTAAATTGAAACAAGAAGATATCATTTCAGTTTCCCCAAATCCACAAAGGCACTTTACGTGGACTACAGCCCTAATCCATTTAGCGCAGTGCACTTGTTTAAACGCTGTAGTGGAGTGGCGCTGACTGAGGCCTACATTAATAGAGCTTTTAGAGTCCACTTCTGTCTAATTATGTCCAACCTCCCAGACTCTCAGGCTGCAGTGCCACACTGCCTCGCCCCCATGCCCCACAGGAGGGTACTACTTAGGACCTTTATCTTTCCACTCAGGCCATAGAACATAAATAAAATAAACATTGTATTTTATTTATTTATCAAAATAGAGTAAAACATGCCAAAGAGTCTGAACATAAAGATACACCATGTCAGTTTTCTGGTGGTGGGTCTGTTGCTATGAAGATGATATTTCTTTCCCTGGAATGTCTCACAGTATGGTACGAAACTTGCCGATATCTGTAGAGACAAGGAAATTACACCATCAAGCAAGTGACACCAGACCAGGTTACAGGTTAGATCTATGGAGAGGTGATCCCATTCAAATTGGAATGCATGTTTTCCAAAGTATGTTTTAAATGCAAGCTGTGGAACGTTCTAGGCTACTCTCCATGAAAGCAAATAGGGGGAAAAGCCACGTGAGACATTGGACTGGTGAGTGGTAGTGTATATTGTCTATGAAATGCTGAGAAAATTGTTGTAGATCACGTCACTGTGCAACAAAGTAAGACTCTGTGAAGTTCCCTCTACACATTTGAAACTGGGGTAATTAAACATGTCCAGAATGTGAGTCCAGCTCTTGTAAACAGCACAGATTCAGGAGCTGCACATACTTTCATTTACTTTGAGCTCTTTATTTGATCTGTTTGTAATACCTACAGTGTTTGTGGATTAAGAGTAATCAAAAGTATAAAAATTAAAGTAAACATGCTGAGTTTAGGGTTTGATATGACTCTTTTGACAATCTCTTATACTGATCGTAAAATAAAGGGTTGCAGTGGAGATTGTAGGGGGAGAATGGAAGCCTCAATGTTCTGGCACTGGTCTGTGACAAGTGAGTGAATAACAATAAGTCACAACAAAAATTTGTCTGCGCTGCCTTTTATTCACTGTCAAAGCCTGATGTTATCAGATCTCAGAAGCTAAGCTAGACTGGGCCTGATTAATACTTAAATGGGTGATTGTTGGGAATATCAGGTGCCACAGAGGAGTAGCAGTGGCAAAACCCTCACCTTTTTACCCACATTGCCTAGTATGAATATGTTGGTGGTGAGGTCAGAGGGGCCAATGGCACTAATTGGCAGCCTCGCTTCAGGCAGTCTACCCCAGGGCAGTTATGGCCCCATAGTAGCTTTTCACCACCAAGTACGTAGTGAAAGAATAATGCACAACATTGTGAAGTGTCTGTGAACATATAGAAAGTGGCATGTCAGGCTGAATGCTCATGAAAGTGCATTTTACTTTGTTATGCATTATTTTCACTATAGGTGATGCTTTGTTAATCCTATCCTTACTCTGCTGTGTTGTAGGCGGGGGCGTCTTCCATGTGGGCGTCTTGCTGCGGGCTGCTGAATGAGGTGATGGGCACAGGAGCAGTGCGGACCCCACAGCCTGCGTTTGGGGCAGGGGCCGGGCCATTCCGCTTCGCCCCCAGTGCAGGATACTCCACATACCCCCCCACTAGCTCAGGGAGTGCTGGGCAGCTGTGCAAGGCCTGTGGGCTGGCTTTCTCTGTCTTCAGACGCAAGGTACAGTCTGTACAAAGCAAACTCACACAAACTCTATTCAATTTCACAGTTTAAATGGTGGTGAAGAATGACTTCATAATCTTACATTGAGTCAACTTTTTGCTGCTTATGTAACAGTGGTGTGTCATTGTCTCTGAGCAAGGACTCTTAGTTCAGCAAAGATCACATCTGTAATTGAAATTAATTGGAATTAATTTGAGTATCTTCATTACAGATCCTGTATTTCTCCAAACTGACTCTTGTGAGCTTAAAGCCATGTTATAATGCGGTTACCTCCTCAACCTGGAGTTGTTGTTTTTCATTCACACATGTTTGAGTAATTCTGGTTTATCTACATTTCCAAACTCAAAATCCTCTTTTCCACCTTGTGATGTCATGAAGTGGTAGTTTTGAAATTAACAGTTACCTTTTACTATTAGTTCAGTAGAGATTGGCAATTCCATGTATGAAGTTATCCAAATAATTCTAGTAAAGGTGTATGAAGTTTAAAAACACAGTGGAGCTCTTCCTGTATTACCACATGTCATGTGGTAATACAGGAAGGTGGAATCGGCATGTTCTTTTGAGAGAAAAACCTAAATATGAAGATTTGTGTGTTAAACTTGTGTGAGTGAAATAAAACACAACTCTAGGTATGTTTTTGGTGAAGAAACAACAATGTAACATAGATCAGAAAATAAACCTTTAAATTAGAAATTGTATAAATGTACGATTATGTCATGCTGGAAGAGAATAAGCACATTGCACAGTTGACGAATCTCTTTACAATCTGACTTTGATGAACCCTAGACTTTTGAAACTGCATCAGCATTGAAATCAGATGGCAATGGTTATGTGCATCACTGTGGCATTTGTGACTATAGTTCAGTGTCAGGGTTTAAGGCAGAGTGGCATTTAGACTCAAACACTAGACCTGCTTCAGACGACTCCATCAACCTCATCCAAACACAAGATAAGAACACACACACACCTGCATGCACACACACACACACACACACCTGCATGCACACACACACACACACACAGTCCTCTGCATCTCCCGTGATAGATGTGCCATGGGATTAATAGCTCATTATGGGAGGAAAGTAGTGGTATGTTGGAAATGCCCTCTTTGTGGACCACATTTGTGTGAACTAATGATAAGGAAAAGTGAATGACCAGGGCAAACCTCTTCTACAGCCCATCTGAAGTGCCAGTCTGTGCTGTATCAGGAGGCAGACTCAAGGAAAATGCCAAGCATCACCAGAAGCACTACACACACTTTTATTACTCTGCATTTTAGAGTTTAAGGGCAACTTGGAGTGGTTTAAATCCATTTAACTTAAAGATAAGTACACACTTGAGCATTCCTGTTGTTAAAAATATGATACTAAAATATAAATATGAAGTGTAAAAATGTTGGTAAGAGATTTGTAATTATCAAGTCAATTTTGCACTTTGAAGATTCATTGTTGGCCATGAGGGTGGAAGGTTGTGTCCACAAAACTGTAACTAGTTTTCTTCTCTAGCAACATTTTCTGTTGATCTAGGCTGAAGACGAGTATACTGCTCCTGGAGATTTTGGCTCCTTCGATGGGAATTAAACTCCTGGCATCTCAATCCAAATGAAAAAAAAAAAAAAAAACATTAATGTGCAATTTACATTTCTTGTGCAAATAAATGAACACTTGTTTTAATGGTGAATTGTAATGCTGTGAATAAATAAGTCATTAGTGTATCTCATCTAGAAGAGCCATCACTTCATTAGGGCCCTCATATGTCACATCTAATCTTTTGTGTCATTGACTATCAGAAAAGCTATGCCATGTCATCATTCATTTTGTCTAATTTTTAAGAGCTTTAAAACTTCTTGCCCGCAGTTAACTTATGCATGATTGAGCCATGCAGAGAAAGTGTTTAATATGCACAAAGAGCTATGGCATCAGGCCTATTTAAATGAATAAAGAGTGAGCTGGAGTGTGTGTGTGTGTGTGTGAAGCAAGTAAAGACAGACTGCATGATGACTTGTTTACTTCCTGTTCCCAGCACATCTGCTGTGACTGTAAGAAGAGTTTCTGTGCCCTGTGCTCCGTGCTGATGGAGAACCTTCGCTGCTGCACCACCTGCCACCTGCTGCGCAGCACGGCCTTCCAGAGAACGCGCCTCATGCAGCTCCGTGTCAAGGACCTGCGCCAGTACCTACTCCTGCGCAACATCCCCACAGACACCTGCCGCGAGAAGGAGGACCTGGTGGACCTGGTACTGTGTCACCAGGGCACTAGCGAGAGCCCCAATGCAGTGCTGGAGCAGGACGAAGAGGAAGAGGAGGAAGAGGAGGGACCTGATGAAGATGAGGATGGAGAGGATGGAGAGGAGGATTCGGACAGTCTGCAGTCCCCCGCACAGGCCTCCCCTCCCTCCGCCACGCTCCGCCTCACAACTGTCCGTCCTGTCTGCCTCTCAGGGAGATGCTCTGAGCCCCAGCCAGAGCTCAGGCACCAGCAGCCAGGTCTGTACATGGCCTCAGTGAGACATAACCATGGTGATATCACAACAGTGCAATGTTAGATGTGGTATGCATGTATAATTACAGCTGAGGAGCAAAAAGGTGCTGGCTGTGCAGAGAGTGCAGAGTTAAGTGAATGGTCCTATGTCCATGCACTCAACATGACAATGGAATCCAGAATACACACTGCTTCAATACTTTACGAAGATGTGAGTCTGGCCACTGGTGAACCATCCCTTTTTCAGATGCGTGTGATTAACAGGTGGATTAGGGACACCAATGGTCTGTCTCTATCAGAAAAAGGGCTGAAAAACATTTTGGATTTCTGTAGAATCAATGAGCAAAGCACTAACCTCTGTTCTGATATCATCAAGATATCATTCTGGATTTGCATTTCAACTATAATGTTAGCCAGTCTGCAAAATATTACATTGAATAGTTTACTGTAAAGTTATTTCAGTGGTAAATTTTCAGCAACCCCTATTACAGTGCTATATGAACTTGTACAATGTGTGGACTAATTGATCCACATTCATGCCAGACTATATACAATAAGAGGTGAAATTACATTAGATAAAAAAGTCCTCTCATGTATCACCACTGTACCCTACTGTGGCACTCAACTAAGCTGCTTTTCTAACCATAGCTGTTATCTAGATCAAACCACCAGCAGTTACTCACTTTTGTACTGTTCTTCTCTGGCTTTATGTGCATACATGTTGTGTTTATGCCTCTGTGTCTGTGTGAGATGTGCTCATGACTGTTCTGTGCTTAGTCCTTTGACAAGTCAGTGCAGCTTAAGCCCTTTGGCTTTTTTAGGCCGGTTATATAGGCAGAGTGTTATGTAATGTCCACGCAGGCTAAGAACTGCCCGCTGTATGACAGAGTGACATCAGCAAAGAGACAGCCTATCCACATCCTCACAAATCATCAGTTCGGTGCAATTGTAAAAATAAACAAACAAATAAATAATAATAATAATAATAATAATAATAATAATAATAATAATAATCTCAATCATACACTGAGCCAGTGATCCTTATAATAATATAAATGATTGAATTCAGTGCCTCTCAAAAAACTGTGACAAAGAAACCAAATTTTATATTGTTGAGAGAGTAGTTGTCTGTATCTGTAAATGGGTCACATTTACTCTCCAGGATTCACCAAAGCATTCAAAACTCCAGAGCTCACAGAGGAGAGGCTGTCTGCATGTGTCAGACATACAGCATGTTTGTGTTATGGGTGCTCTCAAAGGATAACAGGCATCGAATGGAGATTAAATCTCAGTGATAAATCAAACATATAAAAATGACAATAGTCAAAAGCACCATTCTTATTCAGTGAAAGGCTCTGATTTCTATATTTGAATAAAATTATATTCTATAAAAGATGGGCATAGTGGACTGTGACTGAAATGAAACTCAAGAACCATTATAATTTACTTTTTATATATTGTTACAGTATATGTGGACATGTGAATATCCAAACTGAGGACCTTAACTATCTTGACAATGGGACCATACACACTGACCCTCTTATAGTAAAGTGTATTAAGAGCGTGGGCTGTAGCTCTTCTGCTGATTTCTGAGGCGACTTCAGTAAAGGTCTGGGCCAGAGAGACCAGTAGATATATTATTAACATATCTGCACTGGAGTAGGCATGGGTGACTGACAGCTCTGCACTGTTTGCTTCAGCAGAGACACAGATTGAATATATTTATCTTTCTTTGACTAGGAAAAATCTATTTTTAGCCCAGCAGATAAAAAAAACACAAAAAACAAGGGGAATTTACAGTTGAAATGAAGAGAGCTGTTTTGGATATTTGAGAGCACTGTGATCCAGCATCTAATGATGATAGGTCAAATAGAGTAATGCATTAGAACCATCGATCTATATTTTACTTCCATGATTAGTACAGATACATGTGATCGCCTTCGAGCTGTGGCCCATCTTATTGCAGATGGTTTTGAACAAAGTAATTTTGTCAGGTCAACATTTCATCATAATCACTTAATATCTGGAAATGGGCAAAGTGACAATTATATAAATATGTATTTTGAAGACTGACATATTGTCTGTTTACATGAATAATACTAACATTTTGATAAATACTAAATTCTTTTATGTGTTGTGCACAAACCTGATCTGTAAACAATCAGTGTATTTTGTATTTAGTACCAGCTGATTTCATATATGTTTATCATAGGAGCAAGAGCAAGAGGATAATACAACAGCTTCACTTCTAAACTTGGATCCCACTGAAAACCTCATGGAGGTGAGATAATAATAATTGTTTTTCCATAACTTGATTTTTTTGATAAGATAATAAGCTTAAATTCATTGTCAAAATTTTTCATTTTTTTATTTTTCTGCCACTGAGTTGCATGCCTTACATGTTACATCTTCACACAGCTTTAATCTATTACATGGCAGATCCGCTAATATTAATGTCTTCATTCATTTTTACTCTTGAAATATTAATGGTTCCAAAATTAGGATTAGCCTGGAGAGACTGTTTCAGAAGTATATTAATAAAGATGAAAGTCTTTAAGGGTGTGTTCACACTTGTACTTGTTTGGTCCTGGTGTGAACCCAGTTTAATACTTTTTGGTCCTGTCCTAGTTCAGCCCTGGTCTAGCCCTGGTTTTGTTAGACTCTGTTCAAAGTTGAATATGTTGTTTATGCAGGAGTGTACTGACTGAATAAGTATAACCTCAGATTTGCTGCTCATGTGCTGTGTAGGTCAGTCCCGCCACTCAGAGGAGGATCAGAGCCTCTCTGTCTGATTTGGACAACGAAGAGGCCATAGAGAACCTGTCTGTGCGGCAGCTTAAGGAGATTTTGGCCAGGAACTTTGTCAATTACTCTGGCTGCTGTGAGAAGTGGGAGTTGCTGGAGCGAGTGCACCGGCTCTATAGAGAAAACGAGCAGAACAGGAAGTCCAGTGAGTACTTTTGTAGAAGAAGACATCAGATTTATGTGTCAGTGTTTCTACATGTGATATCCTCTTTTCCGTCTCTTTCAGTGGAGAATGTGAGCATCACAGCAGGTAAGACGCTTTACTGCTCATCTCTGCCTGAATTCAAATTATTACCAATCTGCCACAAACTGCAGTAAAAATATTTAGATATCATTGCAGAAATATTGCATTTTTTTTTCTTTTGGGACATGTTTTAGTTCTCCTTCCCCTCTCTTTCCATTTACTATAGCATGCTTGCTCTTTGCGTTCAAGTCAATTGACATTTTATTGTCACAGTATATTATGTATTTTAGATAGGTATGAAAATGCAGGTTGCTGATAAAACTGTAGAAAATACTTTGCATTGTGCTGGAAAGTCACTCTATACACTTTACCTATGCAAGGCAGATCTGGTGTGATGGGGCTAGATATGATTATGATTATCCTTTATTCAGTATGGATGGAATTGATTTTGAATGAGTCTGGTTTCAGACCTGTCTAAATCTGATTCATGAGGCAAATATAAATATATATTGAAAACTAACAAATGTTTATATTATTACTTTTCTCAAAAATATCAAGTGGTTACATTTCCTCCACCTGAGTGCAACAGAGAGGTTAGAGGTAAGTCACATGGAAAGCCACATCATGTCAATATCAACACATTTCACATTGTTTGACCAAAAACAACAGTAAATGCATGCCTCTAGCTGCATGGTCTATTCTTACTACATTATTCTGCATTATCACATTAAAGTTACATCCATCCATCTTGTGCTGCTGGTCTGTCTCTGCTGTTTGGATAGTAAAAAGCAGTTTGGAGTTTCAACCTCCTCTGCTCTGATGAAACGTGGCATTGCTTCAGCGCAGAGCAGTTTCATAGTATGTAATTATATTGTCAGGCCTCTCATAGACTTGTGTTAACATGAAGGCTCTGGGGTCAAATTAGTTCACTTACAGCACAATGGGGAGTCAGTAGTGGCACATTGCACTTGTAGCAATGCAGATGGAAGCCAAAACCAGCTGACTTTGAAAACAAATGTATTTACATTTGTGAGAGTACAGTTTTTTGAATGTAGAACAGTTAAAAAATATATTACTAGGAAACATCTCAGTATGTGCACACTGTGACCATAATGTTTACATTGAAGAATTAGGGTGACCACTGGTCCTTCTCTTGATTTCCTTACTCTGTGACCATCATTTTGGGCCTTGTCCTTCATTACTTATTCACTACTTCACTACTTATTTAGAGAATGTTCCACTTTTTCACTAATAGGATGTAAAAAAAGAAAGAAAAAAAAAAAACATTTACTGATGATAATATTTTTGTCCTAGGAAAGAAATCAATACTTTTTAGATGTACTGGCTTTTAGGGTTGTAATATGTTGGCACCTATTGCTATTCCAATCTCTCTCGCCACTAGGATTGCTAAAAAGTAAAAATCATATCATATGGTCTATGCCTAAATTTCCCTCTATTTCTACAATTTGAGGATGTCACGGTATCCAGCACAGTTTGTTTTCTGGTTACTTCCAGATAATTCTCTGGAAAGAGCCTATATTATGCAAAACTGACTCTTGTGAGCTTTTAGTCATGTTATAATGTTGTTAATTCAAAAACATATCGAAGTTGTGTTTTGTTTCATTCACACATTTGAGTTACCCTTTATTATTTGTCTGTCTGCATCTCCTAAGCTCAAAATACACTGTTCCACCTTGTGATGTTATGAAGCAATAGTATTCAAGTTAACAGCTACCTTATAACTTTTGCACAGTGAAGAAATTCCAAGGCTGAAATAATCCAAATGATTTTGGTGAAGGTATATGGAGTTTAAACAACACAGTGGGACACTTCCTGACATCACAAGGTGGAATGTGTTTTCCTTTTGAGAGACGAACTCACCCTAAATATACAGGGTTTGTGTGTTAAACATGTGAATGAAACAAAACACAACTCAATGTTTTTAATGAAGAAACATTATTACATAGATCAATACCATACCAAAACCATAGTGTAATGGCCCCTTAACACATTCATCAACCAGTACGTGTACTCCTTGCATGCAGAAAAATGTATGCCATTTAAAATCATTCTTCTTCTATCTTCATAAGATTTTATCCAATAAGGTTGAATACACTGTCCAGTATTTTGTGTTTAAAACTCAAGACATTTCTGAGTCATTGTGAAACAGCCTTTAGTTTGGTTTCATAAACATGCACAAACATTTGCCCGCCATCTTTGGTAAACCGAAGCTTGTCTCATTGAACAGATGGCGTGAAGTCGCAGCTGTCCCTGGATGAGAACCTGTGCCGTATCTGCATGGATGCCATCATAGACTGCGTGCTGTTGGAGTGTGGGCACATGGTCACCTGCACCAAGTGTGGCAAGAGGATGAGCGAGTGCCCCATCTGCCGGCAGTACGTGGTCAGGGCAGTGCATGTTTTTAAGTCTTAAAGTGTTATGCTCTCAGGCTCTGGACAGTCTCTGTGGTGGAACTGCGGTGCACGGGGTCTACAGTGGTCATTGATTAATTCGCGCTCACTGTCCAAAAGCAGAGTCCTCTCCCCTCCATACGCCACACTTGGACGCTACACAGCGGAGGTAGCGGCTTGACCAACAGCACCACCCCCTGGCAGAGGCGCAGTCCTGCAGATACTTGAAGTAATGTTGGATGGAGATTACTGTTTACACAGCAAGGCGGCGTGACCGTGGTGTTTCTCCCTCACTGTTCTTTAGGATGTGCAATATGAGAAAACAAAGACTTCCACATGTTTTTAGATTATGATTATTATACATTTAATTTATGCACCTAATTATGGCAGGACACACTAAAGAGGGGTGCCAAATGTCTTGCCTTTTAAACATATTTGGTTCATGGCATATGCATCTCATAACCAGCAACTTCAATTACATTTTTGTTTCCTCTCTAATGAATTATCAGTGGAAATCAGCAAAACAGATATTTTTGGTATTAATTGTATGTGACTACTCTTCGTACACTAGGATTTAATGAGCAAAATGCATAGTACTACAGCAGACCTGATAGCCCTAAGAAGAGTCGGACAAAAACTAACCATTAAATTCACTACATAGAATATTGAATTGTTATACACAGAAAACATCAACTTGAAAGATGTATGGGAGCATGGGTGGTCCAAATTTAAAGTGATTTTCAACTTAAATGTAAACAAACTCAGTTATTTCCCAAATGTTTCTTACTTTACTGTGTATCCAGCTCAAAGGTACTGTAGGTGCTACTTTAACATCACTAGTACTGTTGTATCAAGCAGACATTTGTAGACAATGCCTGGTTTATTTTAACTTATGCAATTAAAAGTTGTTTTTTGTCATCGTCTAACAAAAATGTGTACTATGCTTGTGGTCTGTTTCAAAAAGTTGTTTAACGTAAAATGCATAAATGGTTATTAAATGTATATTTTTACACTTGGAAGTTGGTAGATGAAAATAATAGTCTAAAGGTTATGAAATAAAATGCACCTTTTCAGAATGTATTTCTTCTAGTTCTGCTTTCTTAGTCACTTGTCTCACTGGTCACATTCACATCAGACTACCAGATTTGAATAAAAGTTAATTTCCACAGGAACAATCTTTGAATAAACTACATATCATAAAGACAAATTATCTGGTCAACTCTCTTTGCAGTGTGAACATAACCTCTTAATATGTGTAATTTATGTGGTATTTCTTTGTCCGCAATGTTAATACCGTAGACTGTAACTGGTCCATTTGTACAGCTGTTTCTTTGAGATGTCACATACAGGCAGCTACATCATTAATATCACTCATTATCTCACATCTTTATATTTGGGGATGTCATACCATTTTATTTTTTGGTAAAAAAGGAAAGACCAATTTATTCTATTCAATAAAATGCAATACTACAATTAAAAAGATTACTATGCTGTTCCTTTATCATGGTCATTTTAAAGCTGTAGAAATAGAAATTAAGGACATGTTTACTTTCAATATGTTTTAATATTTCAAGGTATGTTGTCACCTTTTCTTGTGAGAATTTAAATTATATATACTGTATAAAAAACACATTTAGACATTTACTAAAATCTGATCACTGTAACCAAAATGTAAAAAAAATGTAAACATACAAAATATGAAGTAAAAATCTAACAAACAGAACACTATTACAGGCAGTTTAAATATCAAACAATAAACAAGGCCAAAGAGAGCACGTGGTATCACATGACTAACTCAAAAGTTAGAAAAAAGAAAAAAAGAAAATATACAGCCAGTGTTGATCAGGTCATATAAAGCTAACATAAAGCAATATGTTCACAATAAACATTCATTTATTGTCACTGATACATTTGCACAAATCTTTCAGGTGAAATCTTTCTAAATTCACACACACAGGAGCTGTGTGATGGAACCTAACACTTACCTTTATGTTACATCAAAGCCTCTCTACTTATTTAAAGAGGAAGTGCAGCCCTTTGTGTGTAACATGTAAACAATTCATATTCTGGATTAATGTATGTTAACTCCTGAGTTTCATTTAAAAAGGCATTTAATTTGTATCTGAATGATTTGTGCCAATGTATAGATCATTAAAAGTGTAACAGTATGGAGTTAGGTTCAAAATGGAAGTAAACCAAGAACACTGCACATTTTCTACATACAGGCATATTACCTGGTGGTGGAAATATCTCGTAACTACATGCAGAGCTACGACTTTTACTTCTTTTACTAAGCACCTGTGTTAATACAGAAATATCGGGACGGACCCACTGCTTAAACAGACAGTTTTTAGAGCTATCTTTGAAAAAATATCATTTAAGTACAATGTACACCACATTGTACATGTGAATACATCCATGTATTCAAATAAGTGGTTTCAGTGCAAATAAATGTTTGAATACCTAGTGAAGATAGTTTGTCTTGCAAAGAACATTCAGTGTAGCCTTACTGAGAACATTTACAGTCCTTTTGTCTTGTCAAAAAACTGATAACATATAATGCATTATCAACACCAAAACCACAAGTTACTGGCCGACTATTTGGAAAAAAGCTCCACACCATTGCTGCTCCACCAGCAAAAGCTTAATAATAACATAGACTATGATTTTATTTAAACTTTACTGTACACTGGTGCATAGAGCACATAAATGTATGAAACATTTTCTGATATAAAAATATTACTCTATAGCTCAATCTACTTTGCATTAGAACAACATAATACTCTATTAACAGATAAACAAGATTCAAGACATAAAACACATCACAAATAAATAACTTAAAAAGGTGCCATGATTTTACCGAATAATAGAAGTCTAAAAGGTATTGCTTCAATAAAACAACAGTTAAATTTGTACAAAAACATTCAGCTTCGGTTCTGAAATTTGCTGCCTTGTGTCAGTTCAGTAGTACTGGAGAGGCTTTCTACTCCCTGCTAAATACAGCACAGTAGTCTGCTGCCCCCTGGTGGAACCTATCTTTAATAATAATTGCTATATTGAGTCTAGCTGATTTTTTGCAGTAGTTTTTCCTCGATCAGTTCAAACTGAACGCTGACAGACATCTCTGCTATGAACTGGTCACAGCCTTCCTTGGTCACCTGTTTGCAGTAGCGCAGGTCGATGTGGCAGATACTCCCACAACGTTTAAAAAAGGTCAATGACTGGTCTGTCACCCTGTTGCACACTGAAAAACACAAAAAGATTAAAAGAGCAGTCACTTATGCATAACTAATAATTTTTTCAGAAATGTATTATATCGATTTCTCACTATAAAAAAATATTTTCACAAATCCTGCAACCCAAACTTGGGAGCTCAGTTAGCTGAGGTAATAATCAGCTTGATAACCACAACACAAAATTATTTGTAATTGTGATTTAATTAACATTTGATATGCCAAGACATTTTTTCTATATTGTACAAAGATACTGTATGTAGTCTGGGACCTTTTCTTATAACTGACTGTTACAGCAATAAATGCATTGTCCAGTTGTGTCAAAACCAACACTCTGGCTAATAAGTAAAAACAAAAAAATGAGATAACATCACACAGCTCTCCTGCCAAATCGATGACAGAAGCATGAAGATATCAGGTAAGAGATGTTATACATTTCATTCTGCTTCAGAACTTCCTGCATTCAAAAATGAAGAGTGGCTGGCTGACCAGGCAATAGAGATCTTATGATTTAACATGTTTACACAGATAAGTAATGTTTATAAATACAAATACAATCTATTTAACAATGACCATATCAGTAAAAAGATATGTAACATAAACCCATAAACACGTAATACATCATAATTCCAATCAAAACGGTACTTGACCGTAGAGGTCTGTGAGGGATAGAATTTTCAGTCCTGCTCCCGCCTGCACCTGCATTGTGCAGTCCCACTTCTGCCTACTCCCACAAAGAATTGTAATTTTCATTTCCACTCCCACCCGTATCTGCGATACGTTGTCCCTCTCCCGCCCGCAAGTCCTGCAGAATGGGGATGTACGCTTTTTTAAGCTCTATCAAACACGGAGAAGCGTGTTTAAAATGTGCGTGAGATTAGATCACGTCCGCAAATTTAGGCTGTTTAAAATGTTTTTATTAATGCCAAATAAAATATCTAACACAAATGATGTATAATAGGCACACATTAATCATTTGTATATTTTATTTACACTCATATTTAGTTTGCAGGACTGCAGTTTATCCTCTGCCCGCTCACGCATTGTGCAGTCCCGCTCCAGCCCGTGCCCACAATGAGCTTTGAAAATGTGTCCTGTGCTGCACTGTTTTGCGTCGGGTCCCGTGGGAGTGCACATAACAGATTGACATGAAAGATGGACAAATAAGCATGTACATTAACCTTAACTTACCAGAGAGCTTAATGTCTGTGAGAGAATCTCTAGAGGTGGTCCCGGCTGCAGTCAGGATGTTGACAGATTGGTCAGTGACATGGTTACAGTAGCTCAGGTCCAGTTTGGATAATAGGGGCATGTAGCGAATGATGAGGCGCAATGAAGTGTCTGTAATGTCCAGTCCAGCCAGACGCAGGTCAACCACATTACGCAGTTTACTCCTATTGTCCAGCTGACCTGTGCAACAAAGAAATCACTGTGTGAGATAGTGCCAACTAATTAATTAATGAATCATGGGACTTTTATAGCACCTTATATAGCGCCTTTCATGATAACCAAAGCACCTTACAAAGCACTTTACATTCATTCACTCCACATTTCGTGGTAAGCTATTACTGCGGCCACAGCTGCCATGAGGTAACATTATATTACCCCCCCCCCCCCACCAGGAAACAGACCTACATGTGGTTTAACATAGTAGAATGGATTTTGGGCACTGGACTGGTACCTGGCCTGTTGTCTGTGGGTGGTGATAACAAGTCTCTCATCTGCGCATCCTTTAGTCCTTCGACCCACTGAACATCCAGAGTGCGCAGGAGAGGACAGCTGGATGTGCAGAGCGCAGAGACAGCAACCCACGAACATCCGGACAACAGCAGCATGCGAAGGCCTGTAAAAGTCAAAACCAAAATAGACTTTTCTACAAGATACAGATAGTGGTTCTACATTGAGATGACCTAAATGAATCATTATTATGAATTTACATGTCTATTGCAAAAAGGCTTACCTGGCAGTCTATTGATGAGCCAGCTAAGCTGCTTCTTGGAGATGTTGGTCCAGCTGAGGTCCAAAGCGACAGGCTGTCGGCGGATAATCCCACTGAGCATGAGAGGAGTGATGGACTTACAGCGACTAAGATTGATGTGCTTCCACAGCCTCTTGTCACAACACCTGCTCAGATATACACAGGAATGTTCAAATGGCCACCGCTTCTGACAAGTGACACGACTGGGCTGTTTGTACTCACCATCTGTTCCAGGTGCGGCACACGCGCATGCACACACACAAGTCTTTGTGAGTCAGTTGACTGAACACGGACATCCAGGCCTCCCGCCGCATCACGTGAGACTCCTCATCGTTTAGGGGCAGTCTGTCAGGAGGGGGGCTGATGGGAGGGGGGCGGATCACATGACGCTCCATTTGGACACATTTAGGAGGGGAGCGAGAGGGTGGAGGTCGGGGGCAGATGGGTGAGACTGGCAAGCTCCTGTTCCATCCTAGAGGTGAGTACCCTTTTTGGTTCCCGTTAATGTCCCGCCCTCGATGGCGAAGCCAGTCCCCAAGATCACTATTGCCATTATTGAGAGTCCATTTAGACTTTGAGTCGTCTCCATCATTTTCAGGTTCAGTTTTGATAGTTCTGTGGTTTTGATGGGACAAACTGTCTTCTGTTTTCAATGGACGCCTGTTTTGATTGTTTAGAGCATCTTCAGTTTTAAGGCTCTTTCGGTTCTGAATAGTGCTTAAGTCCTCTGTTTTTAGAGGTTTCCGATTTTGACTGGTCGTAGTGTCCTCAAGCTTTATTGGTTTTCTGTTGTGGCAGCCTGGACTGTCCTCTCTCTTCAGCAGTTTTTCTTCAGACTTTGAAATGTCCTGGCTAAATTCTTTCTCCTTGGCTGCTCTTTTACGCTGGTGGCAGGCTTTCATGTGTCTGGAGCTCTTGTCCTGTACATCTGTCATGTCAGCACTGGACCCAGCTTTGCTGGTGTGTACAGGGATGTGGTCACTGTCACACCCTCCTGATGTTCTAAGCAGAGGATTTAAGTGAACTTTTGATTTGTCATCAGCTGTATATTTGTCTCTTATTATTGCTTCCTCTTCCTCGTCTTCATCCTCTGCTTCATGCTGGTACTTCTTTTCTTTGAAATACTTCCTGTTTGAGAAAAAGTCATCGTCTGCCCTATCATTATGGTCATCCTCCAGATCATTCTCAGTCTTGATTTGCCGGAAGAATTTAGGAGACAAAGAGCCGTCATGTTTGAAGAGCTTCTTCTGTCAAAGACATAGCAAAAGTATCAGTTAATATATCTCAAATATCAATGTGAACATTTTTGTTTGTCTACTGCCTGTATTAAATTAAGAAGATTCACTGATACCTTCTTTTTCAAAAGGACAGGTTCATCATTGGTATCAAAGAGTTTCCTCTTTTTCCTCAGTGGGTTGTCCTCAGGCCTGGGTCGGGTCGTGCTTTCCAGCGAAAGCAGTGGAGGCCTCTTCTTTGGAGGCTCTTCATCTTTTCTCTTTGGGACATCCTCCCGTTCTGCCTTTCTCTTTAAAACAGGGGCTGTGGTCATGGTGGTGACAGATGCGGTTGGCATCATTGGAGAGTCAGACTCTTCTTTTTGGTCTCTGGTCAGCCGTGGCTCTTTCAATAAGGACCCAGGAAGGTTTGATGCATATTTAAAACCTGGACCCCGTTTTTGCTTTGAAGCCAAAAATATAGAAAAAGAAGCAAGACATGATTCATCTTGTCAACATTTTTAGCAATTTTGAAGAATTTTTAAGAACTGGTATTACGCAATAATAACATTCAAGTTAATAAAGAGGCTTACTTTCCCGGTTTTCCCTGCATGGTTGCACTTAGGGCACTCCCAACAGTTTGGTAGCTCATCATTAACAACCCCATTTGAATCTTTAACCTAAAACATAAAAGACATACACAACAATATTGGACACATTTTTAATATTAGCATTGGAATAATTAAAACCTAAAATATACAGGATGGGAAGACCTTACTTTTAAACAGTTTGGATGCACAATCTCATTGCATATAGAGCACTCCATGAGCATGAGATTAAACTTCTCTTCTTCATCTTCAACAGTGTCCTCTTTCCCTGCTTCTCCACAGACCAGACATACTGCAGTGTGAGGCAGAACCGGCTACAAAAAGAATGTCGTAAAGAAACAATTAACGGTCACATTGAAGACAAATGCAGGTAGACAGAACTGATTTCTTGCATGGCCAAACATGAATGACTTGTTTCAGCATATGACTAATAAGCAGCTCAACCAGTTCAAGATACTGAACTATAGTGACTCTGAACTGGGGTGTTAACACAGTACAAAAACATACCGCAATGCACTGCCTCATGATGCAGGACTGCTTCATCCTACCAGGTCCACCAAACTTCTTCATGTCTTTGCAAAAGTGGCATTCCCCACACTCAGTGCGAAGACATGCCTCACACCTCCGACACCGGGTCCTTCTGCGGCGTGCACCAGATGTCCCCCGACTGGCTGACAGTTTAACTGCTGATGCTGGTGAAGCTGCCATCTTGGGTTTTGGCCGGTTTGGTGGCCGAGGCTGACCAAAGAAGACAGATACAAGAAGAATCTTTGTTATGGAACTACAAGCACATATGGTAGATAGAAGAGTAAAATACATATTTTAGACAAAGACAACTGTATTTGTTTCACAGTTGCTTTTGAGGAAAGAGCGGTGTTAGAATTCATTTAATTAAGATTTTAAAAATTAAACAAAAAATAATAAGAAAGCTATGCAGAAATTTTGTGCTCCAGTAAAGTCCTATAATTTTGATCTGCCATGGATATTTTAACATTTTCACTAAGCTAATTAAAAGATTTAAATAAAACAATACTCGGGGTTAACGCAGCGTCCAGAAGAACAAAACATGCTTATTAGGTTATTTGAGTTTTTGCATCACATCATCAGTGAGTATAAGGATACATTATGCAGGCTGCTGAGGCACAGAATACAGGGGAAACAAACGCATCAAGACTGTCCCTGGAGGCACTGTCCAAATTTAGCACTCACATGTTTTGACTTCAAAGAGAAACTGCATTTATAATCTCATTTCACACATGGATCTGTGCATTACCTAGAGTTGCAGGGGTGTATTCTAATCTGATTAACGACATGCTAATGATGCTCTATTTCATTAGAATACAGATTCAAGAAAAAGTAGTATTAATGATAACTATCATTTACTCTCATTTAGTATTTTTCAACACAGTTCCACCAGGTATATAACTTTAACAATAGTTGATCTTGACAAAGATGGATAGTACCCATACATAAATATATAGTAGATATTCAAACAGGAAGAAGACTGCAAAGGGCTGCAGCTTGAAGAAACGGAGATGTGATTTCTTTAGTTACAACAGCAGTGCAGATTTTCCTAGCGTCAGCATAGCAACAGCCACATCCCATTCCCTAACAGAACACTCTATGACACACACACTTGTAACCAATAAGATCAGTATTGAGAAACTCGCACAGAAAGGCTCACTCTGACCCATATTAAAATATTTTTCCAACAATAGCCAAGAGATAAGATGACATATTATGTAGTCAAATAAGTGGTACCCAGACAGGATTAGAAAGGGGGATGGACGGGGTGTGAGGCAATATAATAGAAATAAAATGAGAAGAAAACATACAACTATTATTGTAAGGACAGCCTGTGCCAGCTTTTCAATTGGCCATAAAGTTGGTACAATGCTGGAAAAAGATCCAAAACAAGTGAAGAGTTAGAGAAAAGCAACTGTTGATCACTTCAGACTAGCAATAAACTGTAAATATACATGAGAAAATCCATAAACAGCAATAGTAACAACAATAATGGTTCATAGTGTTGGCCTAAATCCCATTCCACCATCTGCTAAGGATGTGATCTTTAAAGCATATACTAGGCCACTGACACAGAATTCAATAACAAGAGATGTTGTCAACATTAAAGAAAATCATTTACAGTAAGTCAGTAATCAAGGAGAGTGGAATTCAGTGGGAGGTCTTCATATGAGTTCAACATCAGCAGATGCAGATGTGTATGCAGGCGCCTATTTTCAGTTATTTATTTTTTATTTTTTAAGTAGTTTTTTGCATAAAGAAATTGTATTAAACTGTAGTCATATTTTTGAAGGGTAATTGTGTGGCACTAATGACTGAACAAGGTATTTTTTAACAAATGTACGCAAATATAATAACACAATGGGTTTTCTAAAGTAGTCTACAAAATACAATAGAATGCAAGTTGAATGAAAATATTTAAAAGCTGTTGTAACATGTGTTTGTTTTGTTGAATTGTAACTGAAAGTCTATAGGAAAATGTGCTAATGATTGACAGATAAACTTCTATTTTTTATTTGCATCCTGACAGGATGTAAGGGGGTGTGGCTGTTATTCACAAATTTAGCTGGCAAATCCCGTTGTTAATGTGTCTGTAAATGCATTGTCAACATCAGTACAATATACATCTAGCAGTCCCCCAAGAAATCTGTCTCAAATGTACCTAATCACCTATCAATCATCATCAGTACATTTTCCATAAATTCTAAATTGCTATTTATTATAAAGGCTTCAAAATGTATAAATACTGAAGAAAAAAAAAATCCATTCAAAGCAATCACACATGTGACATATGTGGTACATTCAGTACATTGAAAGAGCAAATCGACATCTGTGCCATTATCTACTATCTCACTGTTCTGGGAGGCTGCGCAATTCCCTGTCTGCCATAAGCATTCCTTTGGTGGCTTGTGCGTGGCTGCCTGGTGGGCTAACCTGCTCAGAGTCTGAGTCGTAGTCCTCATCATCAGCGCTCAGCGACATGGCCATGGCTGCTTTTTCACACAGCGTCCAGCATACAGCTCTCTGACATGGCTGTGCTCTCCTCCTCCTTTACTCCTGCTGTCTGGCCTCTATAGCCCTCCCTCCTGCTCCACAGCTCCACAATACCACAAGCAGATGTACAAAACACAGACAAGCCTGCCTCATTAACATGGACTGGCTCCCAGGAAAAAGGGAGTGGCACAGCCAATCAGAAACCACAGTCAACTTAAATATTTGTAGCTGTGAGCCAATAGCAGAGCAGTATGAAAATACAGCCTGGACATATTCATGAGTATCACAGGGAGAAGGTAGAAAGCTGTGCTCAGCCAATTGAGCCAGATGGCATATCATTACAAAAGGCAAACACAAAAGAGGCCCGGGACCAGCAGCTGGCCTAAAGGGAGGAAGGGGGGATGATGTAGAGCATCCAAAACACACAAAAATCACAGACAGACATCAATAAAGGCTCTTTCTCTCAACCACTAATGAAATTATCACAGCAGGAAGGCATTTCCCTTTTTAAATAATTTATAAATACTTGTTTTGTAAAATAAAGAAATAAACACCCCCATCCACTGAGTGAAACAAATAATATTGTATTTAATGTGTAAATGTCTTCATTAATCGTTAGAGTATGACTGTGAGTCACAAGTGGGACCTTCATTCTAAAAATAACACTCTATTTATATCCTCCCCATAGTAGAAATGTGCCACTGTTTTCAAATGTAATTTCTTTACTGTAAAATGTGGCATTGATGTTCTTTCAGTTGTAAATAATCTAGTTAGAGTTGCATACACATGACTGGAAATGTGATTATCATTTAAGTTTTAAATGTACCACAGGTTTAAAAAATAAATGTGTTGGTGATCAGTCAGATCAGACTGTCTTCAGTTAAATTACATTTTAGGTGATTCAAACACTATGGTGACATTAACTGAACTTATATCCCTATATGGTTTTAGATCCAAGCTGTCAGTAATGTGCACTTGTTTTTCATAATCTGTGCATTATTATTTATTTAATTTATGTACTTATTTGTTTTATTATTGTTATATGTTGTATACATGCATGTTATTACCATGTGTTGTTAAATAGTTGTTGAATATTCAATTTGAAATTTCAATTTAAAAAGCAACTAGATCTGTGCCCCAAAATAAATTTATGAGCAAAATCTATTGTTTACTTTGTTAGTCAATGCTGTGGCCTGTTACATCTGAATTATGTAAACAAATACATGAACAGCTCTGGATTGGAAATGAGTATGAGTTTTGAAGAGTGGGAAGAGGATTAGACACAGAAAAAAGTGAAAATGAGAGGTGCTAGATTAAATGAAAATGGTGTGAAGACATGGACTATACATGGATATCCTCTTAGAACTGAATTAACATAAATCATGGGACATACAAACTGCGAGCCACTAAAGAACTTTATATCAAGGATAACATTAATGTTAATTAAAGCCGCGCGCGGCGATGGTGGCCCTCGCCCCGGGCGCGCACCGCCCCCCCATGCGACCTCCAGGGACTCGCGACCGCCCCGGCACGTCACCCTCTCTTCCCGACATCCGCCCAGGCCGACAGCTCGTCCATTAGACACATTCCATAATGCACCTTTAAATATTTTTCGGAGTCATTGCACCCCTGCTGGCCAACAGTGGAAAATACACCATGACCATAATAGACTTTCTGACTTGTAATCATGCATAGAATTTAATTCCCGAATTTGGTACAAATCCAATAATGTTGACGGGTCATGTCTATAGTATGGGGCGCTATAGAGTTCACTTTTATTAAATTTCATATTTCATCACATTCAGGCCTGGATCACGCAATTGTGATTTGAATTTGAGTTCTCTAGGCCAATGCCTGTGGCCGTGACAGGTCACCGAAAAAACAGGAAATGAAGGCGTTATTCGGCGGCGTGCTACGGGCGAACCGTAAGGAGTATTCCCAAAAAAATTTGGGAACTTCTGTGAGTTCATGTCTGTAGATGTGACATGTCAAATTTGAGTTCATTTGGACCAAACCCGGGGACTTGAATCTTTTTGTAGACCCCCAAGTCAAAACGGCGCCGAATGTTTGATCCAATATGGCCGACTTCCTGTTCGTCATAGGGTCATGCTCCAATTCATCTTTTGTCTTGCCTTAAAGGTTGTATGGAGGGTTTTTTTTTGTTTCAAATTGTCAGTGATAGATTATAGAGGTGCAGTCGCCTTGTAATTATGATGAGCAAAAAAAAGAGAATAAAAATTCATCAACTCTGGATGTGGTGGGGCTAAACATTTGCCAATAGATAACGACACTGCCTCGTTATCTGTGAGCTGACAGGCTGTCAATCAATCTCCCTACATTTCTAGCGTAACTGACTTGCCTGCGCGCCGCCGGTACGTGGTTTACGTACGCCTGTCACGCAGTCCACAGACGCAAGCCACACAGACGCTGTTTACTCCACCAACGCAACAGTTCTTAGCGGCTTTTTTTGACCTGTATCTTCCTCACAGTTAGCACAAAGTTTGTTGCAATGGCGACAAGAATCCAGGAGCAGTTAGCCCCAAAAGAAAGTCCGTTTTTGAGGTCGCTGAAAGAAGAAGACAAGGGCAAAAGCAGTGAAGCCAAACTAAGGTGATTCTTATAGATTCATTCCAGCGATGGCGCGACTGAAGCAGACGCAGGGTCTAAAGACTGACGCACTGGTCCACAAATTACTCCTGGACAGGTCAACTTCTGCTTAT